TAAAGGGTACCCGGGTGCATCTCGGCTAATTGTGCCAGACGACCATCACGCCCCCAGGTAGCAACCCGTGTATGCCGTAAACCTGGATGAGGTTAGTGGCCGACATGGGTGTCAAGTTTGGCATGCTCCTAGATCTGAGCAACACATCCTTTGGGAAACTTTTTGCCACCCTTGCCCCCACCTTAAGCACACATTCCTGGAGAGTCGATATCCGACCTATAATCCAAAAGAGATACAATCAGTCAACGAAACAAAACACAAATATCAACTATGGGCATGCTTCCTACCTAGGAGTCTCAAAGACTCCGCATCAGAAGAACATTCGAGGAGCGCTTTCGTATTTAATAGTCGGGCAACATAGACATGCTCCCCATCATCACCAAAAATGAAGTTGTTGTCTGAGTCCACACATTTGGAAAGGAAGAAATTCCTAACATAGGCCTCTAGTTTATCATAAGCAAGCATGTCTTGAGCGTCTGGCTCCTCGGGCTTTACTGCATAATGCTTTGGCTTCTGCTCTAAGTACTTCCACTGCCACTCAAGGGGAAATTTCGCCCTTAGCTTTGTTACTTCCTGGCCATCCTTGATCTCGATTGAACGATCGTACAAGGAGTTTATGACCGCTCCTAAAATAGGCTTCACAACAAAGTACCTTTCCTTGAAATGCCAGACGGGTTCCAGGTATGGTCAAATTTTTTTTCTAAACTGCTCAAACGATACCCAGGCTTGGAGGCCTTCAACAGTTTTTCAAACTGTTAAACGATACCCAGGTCTGGAGGCCTTCAACAGTTTTCCATTGGAGATGGAAAATTTGAAAGAATAGGGTCAAGGTCGCACCAATTTTGAAGTATTGACAAACGAGCTTAAATGCCCGCTTAAACACAAGCGCATTCAGGTGGAGTTGAGAGGGTGCTAGGTTTAACCATTTGAAACCCCCACCTAGAAATTCGTAAAGGGCAGGCGCATCCCCGCTTTCTTAAAGGAAAAATCGTACATGGGGAAGCGTGTGTCTAGAAAAACCGAGCAGATCCTCCTGCTCTCAAGCGGAATATGAACCAACCAGGAGGCGGGGGCATCATCTTCCTTTTCCTCGACAACATTGAACGCGTTAGATGAATCATGAACAAATCGAGACATTGTGTTTCTTGGTTCAGGTGTGACCCAATCTAAGTTGTAGCATGTGCCTACATTTTCCTCGTTGTTTGAGTCGGGCAAAACAGCTTCTTCAACCGGTTGATCCATCTAACCTGAAAAGCAGGGAAAATAGTAAATTCGACATCATCAAATCCATCCTTCCACCGCAAATAAAGTGAAAGGGCGAGGAACGCCTCGAGGGTTGGTCCTCGACTCAAGCCCTTGATGGAAAAACAAGAAAGTGATGTCCTCGTATAAACATAAAATAACAGAGACGTTTTCCCCGACGAAGCGACATAATCAAATCTCTCCAATTCACACGGAGGACGTCCCTAACATGAACCCAGATAAAGATTCATTGATCTTCATCCGAAACTCATAAACCTAGATGAACTCCATGAATTCTCATTCAAAACTCATGAACTTCATCAAAAAATTCATCCGTTCGTTGGGAGACTCATCAGAAAATTCACATCGACGAAAATTTCATACGTTCAATCTAAAATCCTAAGAAAAATTAACATACGTTTGAAATAATCACTTACTTGGAAAAGGGTGAACACTGGAAAATTCTACGGTGACGGCGGCGACGACGGAGCAGCTAGCGAATGGAGAAGAGACGATGGCAGAGCAAAGTCGAAAATGTCTAAGTAAATCTCACACTTCCTTTTTATAGCTACTCCTCACCGTATAGGGTAGCGTGCGAGGGATCATCATTGCTTAGGCTCTTAGACTTCCCTAGGAAATGATGGCGCTTCAAATAGCCGCCATGTGTGACACGTGAAGTGATGTGCCATTTTGACCTCCAAAAAATCTCACGCGTGAAACCATGCACTGACACCATTTTAAAAATCTCCATTGTCGAACACATGGTCGACATCATTGTGGTACCTTTCTTACGTGCACATCGAGAATATGAGCTCAGAGGAAACCTTGTGTTTCCCCGTGAATACGAATCCCGAACGAGCACCCATGTCAAGACAGACAGCTGATGAGTCGACCGAGGAAAATCCTTCAGAACAAAATGATTGCGCCCCACGCATGCCCTTGTTGTCGGGCATAATGGAACGATCACAGAGAGTTCACAAGGAAAGCGATAATCTGGCGATCATGTTGTCCTCGACCGTAATATGGTGATTATTCACATTTACTCTTCAACCTTGAACGTCGAGGACGACCCCGACAAAAGTTAACAACTCCTTTTGTTAGGCAACCTTTCCCCGACAATTAAGTTGGCCTTAAGTCATCACTCTTTCGCCTAAGAGAAATAACTTGGGGGGCTCTTGTTCTGGACTGGGCTTACACTTGGCCCACCATTGGGCATTGCCTAATCCAGCGCCTTTGCCATTGCCGAAGCTACCACCATCCTGTCCGTCGAGAATAACGAGTCCATAACCTCCATATTATCCCAAAGTAGTTAACCAGGGAGGAGACCACGTGTTGGACTCCACTACTCACGTAACCCTTGCAGTTTTTGTTATTGGGCTTAATCATCTAGCCCAATAACGAAGATCTTGGCCCAACATTGGGGACTATAATAACTGCGCCCCACGCACACACAACACACACACGCGCACGCACGCGCCCACGCGCACACACAACACACACACGCGCATGCATGCACACACACGCACACACAACACACACACGCACGCGCACACACGTACACACAACACAACACACACACGCGTACACACGCACACACAACACATACACACACACGCACGCACGCGCACACACACAACACACACATGCGCACACACGCACACACAACACACACACACATGCACGCGCACAACACACTGTTTACCGTAAAAAATGGTAAACAACCGCTGATCTTCCAAAAGGTAACTTATTTGGTGACTCGCAGGATCGATCAAATTGATCCTAAGACATGGCTGATTTTTAGAGAGTTTAAATGCTTTAAAATAGAGAGTTTCGACTAATCCTAATGGTGATTAACGCAAGTAAAGTAGAGACACTTTAAGTAAATTGCATGGAGAAAAGTTTGATAAAGTAAATAAAAGTATTAAAGGCTTGTTAAATAAATAACTTTGACTGAGGTAAATAAGTGAAAGCGATAAATTGCTTGAATGTAAAAGATTTCGATTAAGGTAAATGGTGTTTCACACATACATTCTCAATGATTTTTTCTCTCACGCTGGGTACTTGAATCTAAATGAGTGACTTGTATACAATGATGAACACACTTATAACTACGTGAACATTTAGTATTTATACTAAAAATCCTAAGTAACTGCTGGGCAGTTACAACGCTTCGAGGTGACACTACATGGCACGCTCACAACCCTCGATGCCTACTTCCACGCCACGTTGCGCTTGGTAACTGCTGGGAACCGCTTTCCCTCCAACAATTCGAAACTCAAACCGTTCGATCTTGGGCATCAGGGACCTTGGTCGAAAGGTTTCTCCTTCGACGTTGAAAACAACATGATTCCAACTTAGAGAAATTTCTCTAAGTATCTTGTCATTCTTTGATAAGCCTTCGATGTGATCAGCTGATCGAAGCCTTCTTGTGTAGGAAACTCTTCTAACTCATAATTAATGATCTATATAATAATAGAACGTGGGTGTCGAATTTAGGAGCCAACACACATACACGCGCACAGACACACACATACAACACACACGCACACGCACACGCACATACACACCCACACACACCTACACGCACACACCCACACACGCACGCGACCGTTTGTTTTTCTTAGAATTTAGTGAATGCTTCTAGAAATATTTATTTTTCTTTATAAGGAAGTTATCATTGATAAAGAATATTAAGGATATTTTAACCCGTTTATAAAAAGTCGAGAAGAGTTAGGATAAGAGAAATTATCCATCAACTAAAATTTAAGATAAATAGAACAACAGACCTTTATAAAATTTATAAAAGTTATATCTATTATCATTTTGATATTTCAAATGAGATCAGAAATATTACCCGAACCACTTTTGAAAATAATTTCATTCCTCAAATTCTAAATGGTCTACACCATCGTTAACCAAATTAAACACTCTTTATTAGCCTTCAACCTCTTTTTCTCACACCTTATGTGTCAATTGAGAAAAAAATTTCCACACTATCTTTTCAGAATTCAAACACAAACCAAACCAAATCTCCATCTACTTTCAGACAAACTTTGAAGTAGAACAATTTATAAAGAGATATTCCAACGATTCCTCCTCACCTGAACAAAACCCACAAAGAAGATCACTAGGAGATAAAACAATACCTCTTTCGAAGAGAAGATCTCCACACAAATGATTTAATTCTATAAGGAACAAATGATTTCCAAAGAAAGCTAAGAGTTGCAACAAATTCGCCTTCGATGTTACTCCCCTCATCAAAATGAGACAATAAGCCATATCCCGATTTGGTTGTGTGTCCCGACAAAATATCACTACTAAAAATAGACATTTAATTAAATAATTTTACACCGGGTCTGGATTTACACCAATGTGAAAAAATACAGTGATAGTTTGATAAATAAAATAAAATTATTATAAAAGATTTTACACCGAATCTAAATTTTAACTAATGTGAACAAAATGCGGTAGCAATTTAGAAAATAAAATAAAATTTTATTATAAAGGATTTTAAATCGGATAAGACTTACACCGATGTGAGATGCCAATTAAAAAAAACCTAATTTATCTTACAAACTCATATCATTTCTTTTTTGTTTTCGCCTCCAAGACATAAACCCAGTTCCTTTCTTCATCTCTCTCACAAACATCTCGCCTCCGTCCAACTCCTTTTCGGCAGTGCGTCTCCCTCCGACTGAACCACCTAGCTCGCCATCGTCCCACTCCTTCCCTCGGTGGCGCATCTTCGTACTCTGTCGTTAACTGTTTTCGAGGTAATTCGTTAACTCATCTCTCATCTCTTTCCATTTGTAACATCTTTCCAACAAATACAACGCTTCCGAGTTATCACTTTCTTCACCACTCACTCTAACTATTTCTTCAACATCCTCCATTGCCGATTCAACTCGCCGCTTCTGATTCAACTTCAGTTTCATCTCAGCCCTAAACACCAGCAAATCGGCGCGCTCTTCCGGGAGAAGAAACTTCACGGTGGGAAGAGATAGATGTGTCGAGCGACTTGATGGCGGAGGTGCGGTGGTTTAAGATCCCGAATTAGGTTATGGCATTTGTTGAAGTTATTATTTCTTACTGTGATGCACAAAATATCATAAAAATATTTAAGGAACCAGGTATATGTATAAATTATTATAGAAAATATGACTTTTGTAAATAACACTGAAAATTATATTTAAAATAATTCTGGCCATTAATTGAATAGTTATAAATATAAACCGTGTGAATTTTTTTAATAGTAAAATGAAGACCTAGCTTAGAAGTATTTGTTATAGTCTAATCGCATGACTGTTTTTAAAAGTTAATTTAAGACCTACCTTGGAAGTTGGTTAACGTGGGTGCTCTTTTTTGTTCTGGGGTGACCAGAAATCCCAAATTTATCATGCCACTTCACTCTAAGCCCGCCTTTATTCGGGACTGATGAAAATGCTTGAATCTGAGGAGTAATTTATACCGTGTTTAAAAGTTTGTGACACAATGGCTTATTTGTTGTGTGATGTTGGGTCACTTTTCAGGAAATCATAAACTTTGTGCTTACAATTTATTGCTTTACAGTGAATTAGTGCTGGAGATGCTCTGGGACCTGCTATAATTGCATCATCAACAATAATTGAAGGATTAGAAAGCATTAATCTGAATTTGATGTCTATTAGAAAACCCGCATTCCCTCGACTCCTCCTTAACAACGTCTCTTGCATGAGAAATGCCCAACAAATTCTCTCTTATGTGAATGTCTCTCTTCATGATGGAGGGGCACTTGTCCTAACTGGTGCAAACGGTTCAGGAAAGACAACTTTCATGCGCATGCTAGCTGGGTTTTCTCGTCCTTCTGCAGGTGAAATCCTCTGGAATGGCCATGACATTCAAAAATCTTTGATCTTCCAACAGTATAAGCTTCAGCTTAACTGGGTCTCCCTCAAGAAGGCAATTAACGAAAAGTTCACTGTTCTAGAAAATATTCAGTGGTTTGAACTTCTTGAAGGCAAGCAAGGGAAAGCTATGCTTGCACTTGAGGTGATGGGATTAGGAAGATTGGCTAAGGAAAAACCAAGGATGCTTTCAAGTGGCCAGCAGAGAAGATTGCAACTTGCAAGACTGCTCGCAATTGATCGCCCCATATGGTTGCTAGACGAGCCTTCAGTTGCATTAGATGACGAAGGTGTAAAGTTACTCGAGTACATTATTGCAGAACACAGGAAACAGGGAGGAATCGTGATTGTGGCGACTCATTTACCCATTGAGATAGAAGATTCCATGGTCTTGAAGCTGCCACCAAGGTTTCCAAGGGGGATGACATTTGCAGATATGCTTGACCGCATTGATATTAGTTAATTCTTATCTTTATTTGCATTTTACATCGAGACAGAATTTAGTTCTAAAATAATTTATTGGTAATCTAGGTCATTGGTGACATTTCATTTACAGGATTCTCTATTTAGTTTTCTTTGGAACATAGTCTTTTTGAAGTACTGTCTTACGGGTCATGCTTGTAGAATTGCAGCCTGGATGTATTTTTTCAATATTCTTTTCACATTAGCATCTTTTAAGTCTTACTATACGTCTTCTAAATATCTTCAGGTTTTATTGTTAAAAGGCTAAACACTTCCTTTCACATTCTTATATAGAAGTTGCTACTCTGTTCTATCTATAGAAGTTCATTTCTTATTTGCCTCATTGTACTCACTATTCCATTCATCAATATTCATCCACAATTCCATTTACAATTCTTGTTCTCTTAATTGTTCTATTATGAGCTGCCCGCATGGCTACTGTTTCTAGAGCTTAAGTTGAAGTTTTTGGTTTTGTTTTATTATGAAGGACTGTTTTTACTACTGCTGTTTTAGAACTTGGTCTCGTGGGTTAGAAAGTTTTGGACAGTCTGCTTGCCTTCTCTGCAGGGGGCTGCTGTAATGTTTCAGCTGTAGCCGGTTCTGGGCGACCTTTTGTTATTTAGTTAGCGTCTTTTTCTGCGTTGTGGCTAGAGGTTTTGGTTCTTGTTCTGATTTTGGGTTACTTGTGAGGACTTAAGTTATGATTCAAAATTAGATGTGTACTTGTTGCAGACTTGGCTCTTCTTGTACCTGAGTCTACTTTCTGTTATGATAAAAAATAGTTCTTTTCCTTTTCAAAAGAATTTTAACCGGGCACGATCCAACTATTAAATGTCTGCCTTCCAATTTTAGTGAAATTTATCTTTATCATTATTGTAGATAGATACAAATATAATTGCCAATTTGTTCTTAATGGTGTTCAGGTTTTAAGTTGAAGATATGAATGCGTTCAAAGCATACAAGGCGTGTGTCCCAATTGCTTATAGCCCCAATCTATACATTACTCTGGTGAGGGGTATTCCGGGGACCAGGAAGCAACACAGGCGCACTTTGGAAGCATTACGTTTGGGAAAATGCAACCGAACTGTCATGCGATGGAACACACCTACTGTTAGGGGAATGATCCAACAGGTTTCAACACAAGCTCTATCAAATCCATCATGAAATGATCTATGTTCTTGTATACTAACATTGGTAAACTTTGTAATTGTTATAGGTCAAGAGATTAGTTGTTGTCGAGACAGAGGAGATGTACAAGGGCCGCAAACAGAAGGAGGAAAATCACCGAGCTCTTCGTACTCCATTGGTCATAAACCATCAGCCTCCTCATGCTGAGGGTACCTTGTAATGTTCAATGTGTTTTTATTGATCTCGTCTTCTTACTACTAAAACTTTCAAATGCCTAAAGTTTTGGGCTGTGCCTCACATGTTTTTTATCTATAATTTTGAAGCTGTTTCAACTGATGCAACAACTTTAGTCAAATTTAGGCATCTGTTTGAAAACAGGCTATCAATTTCAGTTTGGAATCATTGATTCCATAATTTCTTGTTTCTTTAGGAAACAACTTTACCATATAGTTGGACTTTGTTATATATTACTTCCACTTTACCATATAGTTGGACTTTGTTATATATTATTTCAAATGTCTAAGTTTTGGGATGTGCCTCACATTTTTTATTATCACTATTACTATTAATATTGTCTTTCTAGGAATCCCATAGAGAGCTCAACAGAAGAACTCTGCCCATTAATTTAACATAAATGATCTATGACCTCAAGGTGACACAAGGAAATGAAATAATCATGTTAGATTGAACATTCTTGAACAAGTTTTGCACACAATCTGCCAAAGAAAAACACATAACTTGTATTTAAAATATAATAACTGCATAAAAAACCAAGTGATAGTGTTACAATATGAAGTTCAAATTTGCAACATTCCTCCCATCTTTCATACGAGCTATGACGGATAAAAACAGCACCAACAAAAAATGATTTATAAATTCATGTAAAAGTATATTTTCTGACTTCACCTCAACATGCAAAATTCTAGATCTACAGGCATGATGAAAATAACTCTTCTTTCTATCTTGATTTCACTACCATCAACAGGATGTTCATAGTCATTGACTATCATATTTTATAGATCAACATCGTGACCAAGAAATAAATTCTCTATTCTGTCTTAATAACTTTCTCCATTAAAGACTAGAGATTTGACGTTAAAAATGATTTCTTTCATTTGTAACGGGTGCAACTGGTGGTGGAATCACTGCCATAGTGTTTCACAAAAAAGTCTAGATCTTTATCTGACATGATTAAGTGTTTAATAACAATCAATGTCAGAACCGAAACTCTAATGTCAATTGAAGGTACGAGAAACACAAGAAATGTGGGTTTGAATTGGGTTTTCAGATTTAAAAACTTTTAGATTTTCCAAACAAACAAGGATGAAACAAGAACAAAAATAAATGAACATAATTTTTTTATCCCGGTTCACTGTTAACGAAGTTAATCCAGTCCACCCACCAAGGTGATTTGCCTTTTTAAGCAAGGACTTAATCCATTATAACCGAACTGATTACAGACACAAACAAAGACTATCCGTCAATGTTTACAAACCACAAAGATTAACCGTCAACGTCTTCTTGAGAAATTCTGACTATACCGTAGTCTCTCAAGGAACTATCAACTCCAAGGTTGAAATGCAAAGTGTGTTTACAAAGATGCTTCTTAGAAAGCATATTACACAAGTTGAAATACAAAGATATAGCACAACAATGTTAAAAGCAAGTTGAATGAATAAAAGTTCCTTGCTTGCAAGTTAATGAATTTTTTTTTCTTGCTTTACAAAACTTTACACAAGATATATTTCAGTAGAAAGTTGAGCAGCATTTCAGCAAAATTGTTTAGTGTGAAGTTCTTCTTTCCAATTCTTCAAAGTCTTCCTTTTATAGCCGAAAATAAATTTGTTGGAGGGTAGAATAGGAATAATGAATTTTCAGTTGTCTTTTTGTCTAACAGTCAGTGAGAGTGGTAGACAACATCATACCATAGTACAGTCTCTGCGCCACAAAATCAGAGTAGTGGAAATATTTAATCTTGTACCATGTACTATTCACTCACGTTAAAACATTTTGATCTTAACTTCTCTTTGGAGGCTTCATAATATGTGTTGATGAAGCATGCTTAGAAGGACCAAAAGCATAAAAGAGAATCTTCATAACACATGTCTTCAGGGTCTTCAGAACTTGTTCTTTCCAGAACTTTGTCTTCAGAGTCTTCAGAACCTTGATCTTCAGAATCTCGAAACTTGGAAGCCCATAATCTTCAGAGCTTGAGAAGTCTTCAAAATCTCTTTAATTAGAGTTACAACACATAAGCTTTAGACTAACATTCATCAGAACCGTTGTCTAGAGAGATTCTAGAACTTGATTGGACTTTGTAACATGTAATTGGGTATCTCCAAAGACAAAGTGTGTTGATTCAAAAAATGATGATGTCACACGCCCTTCTATCAAAGTCAGAATCTGTTAACAAAAATCTACACACTAGATAAAACTATTAGAGTACAAAATTATTCTCTAAG